TTAATTAGTGCAGAACTGCAGTACCGAAAGCCATCTGCAGACGGTCACAGTAATGGCACGTCCTGGGAAAAACACCTATGATGAAAAGGTATGTCTTTTTTTTAATGTTTTTATCTTTTTTTTTTTTTTGCTTTTTAAAAAAAACTTTATTTCTTTTTGTCGTTGTAGTTGAGCTTTTAAAACTTTTATGCTAAAAAATACTGGTAGACTTCAGTAGGTGCTAATTCAGAAGTTTTGGATAATTTTATCAACTGAGCATATATGTCCTTCTTTTTTTTTTTCTATTATTTTTCATTCAATATCAACAATTAAGATTCCAAGTTTTTCTTCTCTTTTATACAGTTAAATTAACAGGTAGATTACTTTGTGCTCTGAGTAACCTTTGTGAAGAAATCTGAATGGAAAAATATGACAAACCAGTAGGGGAAGGAGGCGGGAGCAGATGGTGAAAAACAAAGTAGTTACTTTTCTGAGTTAAAACGATAATTTTACTTTGTTTGCAAAAATATGGTACGGAGTGTAAAGATGGAACTTTTATAGTTCAGATAGTTTACAGACGAAAATGGATTAATGATGAAGTGGCTTTTTGGTTACGTTCGTTATTATTCGTCTCTACCGTCTATCTTCTTTCCTATTTTGCTACATCTGCAGTTTTCTGGTTGAACTTTGAAAACATTTTCTTCACTTTTTTTTTTCATTACTCGGAAGGCATTGATTGAAAAAAGCTGTTGACATTGTAGAATTCTTGAAAACTGTCTTCGATAATGTGTTTGCTCACACGTATTTAATGGCAAATGATTTGGTTGACCAAAAAATTGTTTATTTTTTTTTACAACAAAAATCTGCGACTTTTTTTCTTAGGTTGTCACTTTTTTTTTAAAGGAAAAATTTCTTTTGCATATCACAAGTCGTTGTTTACCTCAACTTTGTTCCAATACAAGTTCTTTGGTATACCATATGGTTTAAATAGCAATTGAAATAACAGAAACCAAGGCAACAACTAGATTTTGGTCAGCTGATGACTTCTAAAAATAGCTGTTTTTAGTTTGCATAATGTAATGAAATTTCTGAAACATTTTGAAATACCACCAAACAACTGAGGAAACTTTTCCAAAAATCGATTCTGTGTTGTTTCATTGTTTTTTTGTATGTGTTAAGTCTGATAAATCTGCTGATTAGTATCATTTTTGACCGTCTCGATACATTTTTATTTTCAACTAAAAGAGATAAAGAATGAGCTTATTTTGCTGTTGTTTTCAATCACAAGTGGCTTCTGGAAATTGTAATTGTTGACAGAAGTTACTTTTTAGAAGCCTCCATATTCGTACATTTCGTTGACGTATATGGCAATACAGAATTCCGAGGAAAAAATGCTACCATTGACAGAAATTTATAAATTTATTATGCAAAATTTTCCATTTTATCGTAAAAATACAAAACGTTGGCAGAATTCACTGCGGCATAATTTGTCATTCAACGACTGCTTCGTAAAGGTTTGGTTTATACCTCTGTATAAATATAATCATAAGTGAGATACATATATAGAATTAAATAAATGAATAAGTATATATATATATATATATATATATATATCGTTTTTTTTT